ATTACTTTCCTTTCGTGACTATTCCAACGAACTAGATGTCCGTCACGGAAACGTCCCAAAACGACTCATACTGTTTTTACTAAATCAGCAATTTATTTTGGCAAAAATCAAAGTGGTATTTTAGATAACCATAAAAACGTAAAACGCTAATCAAAACAGGACGCCATTTTATTCATTTTATCGTGAGACAGGTTCAAAATAACGTTTAGTTATTGTTCCAGCTTAAAGTGGGCTCAAAACAATCTAAAATATTGCAACATCGCTATTTTACTGTTTATTGTTTGTTTGGAAGAAATAACAAGGTCAGGGGTTACTAAATCAGCACTTTTAATTTGGCAAAAAACAAAGTGGTACTTTAGATAACCACAAAAACGTAAAATACTAATCGAAACAGGACGCCATTTTATTCATTTTATCATGGGACATGTTCAAAATAATAGGTATTGTTCCAGGTTAACGTGGCCTCAAAACAATTTAAAAGATTGCAACATCGCTATTTTACTGTTTATTGTTTGTTTGGAAGAAATAACAAGGTTGGAACCTGTGGGTGTAAGCAGCGAAATGAATTGTTCATTTATTCTCAATGATTTCAAAAACGCTAATATTTTATTGTAAATTAATATCATAGTGATACATATTTGATGATTTTTTTTTATTTTGATCTTACAAAAGCACAGCAATCGATTTCTGGTTTCATTCTTTTTTATTTCTATCTTTTTAGATGTGATTGTTTAATAATTATTTCGTAACAATGACTCTAAAAATATCGACACAAATGCCACAAATGTCATTGAACCGGGAAGCCTAAAAATCTGGATAGATGCCTTTTGAAAAAAATGTCCTTCTTATTTCTCAGGCCGTTAGATAAATGGACTGTTGTCTAGACTGTCCTGGGTTTAAAATCAATCCTACATTATTACTTATGCAACACACCGCCCCACCCCACCCAGGCCACCCATTCTAATCTGAACTGAGAAGTGTGAAAAGTATGTAAAAATGGCAATACATGTGCAAGACTACAACCAGCATTTAAGAATATTCGATATAAGGATAGATAAAATCAGGATTGGATGTTAACTGCATCCTAATTTGGGGGGTGGGGGCTGAATGGTTAACGCATGCACAAGGTCTGTCATTTAGTCGTTAATACTCTCTCTCTCTCTCTTTCTCTCTCTCTCTCTCATGTTAGATGCTCACAATATCACACAATATCAGGACTTAATTAGACTACACATATAGGTTAGATTTCAAAATGGCAATCCAACAAGTTTACAAGTGATAATAGAAAAAAAAATGATCGAATTTAATTAGTATTCTTCTTTTCTGTTAAAGGAAATAGATTAAAAATATGTCTGAAAGAACTGTTAAATTATTCATCCAAATTAGATTTTATCCATCGATTAAAAAAAATACTAAGGTTGTATACCAAGAAAAAATAAATACATATCTTTGGAGGTTTTGTACAAGTGCAATTCTTGTGTATTTTCTGGAATTCTCGTTGTTGTCTAAATGAAGACAGGAATCCTGTTGGTTGTTTATATTACTATATTACTATAATCAACATAAATTACAGCACACAATTAATGTAACAAATATTGGTTCAATAGTAGATAAGCTTCAATATGAATATGGGAATTGACATAAACACGTGTCTCCAAATATCCAAATACAGGTAAATAAGGTCTGTCCTTAGGAATGTGATCTAACTTAATCTCCCAATGACACGTTTGTAGCAAGGTCCTCTCTTAACTGACTCATTTGGGCCTATATATCCCCATGAATTACCTAGGGCATTAATCCTATAAATCTATCGTTGGTACAGATAATATACCATGGTAACTAAAACGCTATAGCCCGTAGACTTTAATTACAATTTATAAACTCAATTTAAAGTATAAAACAAAGAATACTGAAGGCAAGCGATTACGGAAATTTAATACAATCTGAAGTAGATATAAATGGGGATATTAAGGTGGATTGAGATCCATTAAAATATAGTTTACTTGAATTAAACATACATTATGCAAGAGCTAAATCTGATTATTGCAAGTCTTTATTTAGGCTTCAGATGTCACAGAAAGTATAAATTAGATCTTTATTTAAACAACAAGCACATAATCAACTCTGTAGACCCACGGATGGCTTGGATTCGGCTTGGATTTAAACAGGATTTCATTGATTGATTAAATTTTTAAATGGCGTCGTAAGTGGAGATTGGCCGTTACGTTGACGTCATACTCCCGGAAATTTTAGATCGAGGCTAAATGATAGAGTGTACGAAGCGAGGCCGCATGTCCATCAATTTGATTGAAAATTCGATATATACGACCTTGATATTATGTTTAGTTGTGGTTAAAATGAGAGTTTGGATGTCATTATTATACACCCTCTTGTCACTTGCGTTTACAGAAAAAATATTGAAATTGATAAACATCGCAGCTAACATCACCCCAGTTGGTTTGCAGCCCCATTGGATCACTGTTTGAATGTTTCCTATTTGTCTGCTTCGTGAGTTACGTAGGCCTACCAGTTACAGTACAAGAGTACACGCAGGCTAACAAGAAGTCGTTTATAATTAGCCTCATTGATTTGGTCCATTCCTTTCAAACTTTCGCTTCTAATCTATATATTAAAAGTCTTATTTTTAATTTGTAGTAAAAATAAATGTGATACGAATTGAATTGCAACCCCGTCTCGAACCGAATAGGCTAAAGGTACCACAGCCATTGAAAACGTTACTTGATAATCGAGATTATGTAGGTGGAGTTAACGCCTGTCAACCAAACGATCGGCCATTTTCGTAGACGGTGAAGAGAGAGTTGACTCCCATTTCTAGTCAAAATTTACAATGGTGAAAACTTTGTTCAGAATAAAGTAATTTGACTGAAATTTTAAATATATTCTTCTTTCATCATCTATTTTTGAACTGTTATAGCAAGAATGGCCAACTCTCTATTTAAACCTCCCATAATGTATCTTTAAGTAATACTGTGCGGATTGTCACGAAGTATTATTTACTATTGGGTCGAAATTCACCCTATTATTTCAGTGGAATCTGTTAATATTTTTGTATGTGAGCGCTGACTCACTGATCGGGAGATCCGGTGTTGCCGAGAAAGTTCCCAGGTATATTTTCTGGTCTGATTTCCTCTTGTCAGTTGCCTGATAAGGAAAAGCGCCTAGTCGTTCGGATGGGACAAAATATCGAGGTCGACTGTAAACGATTGCATGCAAGTAAAAGAACACGTGACAGTTGAAATTCGATGACGAGTATGTGGAAACAGTGCTGCCCGGGCATAATTTTCCCCCATAGCAGACTACATGGCCAATGCTATCTTCATTATCCCGGTTGATTCACAAAAGAAGGGTGTTAAGTCCCATTTCATGTGTTCATTTATTTAATATTTTGAAAATCTACAAATTAAAAGTAGCCACCATATGTAATACATATGAAAAATGGTCAGATGTCAATGCACACGATAAGATACCAATTCAACGCTGTGTAATGGGTTTTTTTTATTGTATGATCACTACTGGCTACAGTACATATTCAGTGTATTCAGGCATTCAGTACTATAAAAACCAAGCAGCTTTAATTGATAAAAACATAATTCCTAATTGGAAAAGTTGGCGTTTTACACCCACCGTCTCGCCATCCCTCCCAGGCACTTCTGCTGCCGTGCTGTGTTGAAGGCCACCAGAGACCCGTCACTTGTTCGTCATATCTAGAGCTTCAAATAAAAATTAATTGACTTATAACCGGGTGCGGAGAGGTCTCGATCGAAGATGTGATTGGCTGATCGTAGACATCAAATCTGTGAAAATTCATGTCCGCTTTCAAACTAAATTGAAGTCGCATATGTGGCCTAGACAGAAATTTCCTGTAGATTTGATCGAAATCGAGTTGGCTTTGATCTTGTGATATAGAGAGAACACGGGGTATATAATATAGAGTAGATTGTCGCTGTACGTCTGACTGGAGATTAGAGAATAATTTTTTTATGAAACAATAATCCTAGGCAATGTTCCTGAATGCTTCTATACAATGTTGTTTTTATTAGATTCCTAAGTATATTTTGATTTGTTTTGTGCAGTGGTAATCTTTCTTTATTGAACATTAAATTGACGGGGTTGAGATATAACGGGTTTTATGTTTCAATGTTGACACGGGGGTGGGGGTGGGGGTGGGGGTGGCCATAACAATAGCACGCGCGCTGTATCATACGGCCTGTCATTGAGTCAACTGGCGGGGTTTCGATTCCCCGGTTGTACGTGACAAGGAGTAGGGTCGGCTGTCCAACCTCGTGCTCGTGGGTTTTCTCCGGGTCGTCCGGTTTCCTCCCACTGCTAAAGACCCCTTCGCGCAAGCGAATTATTGAAATAAAAATGAACCGTGTGTTAGTCCCAAAATGACCTGGTTTGTGTCGAATGGACTTTAAACCCCACTCTCTCTCTCCCCCTCTCTCTCTCTCTCTCTCTCTCTCTCTGTTGACACAGTAAACCAAAAATAAAACAAATTTTCGGACTTTCGCTTAATGGAGACATTTAATCGTATATAGTTCCTTTTGTCAACCGAATTCAATAATTTTGTCCTCAATCAGACGGTTGGTTCTTCTAAAGTGAGGTATTTAATAACTGGACAGAGAAATAAACTGTAAAATACTTTCGAAGCGTATTTTCTCAACATTAACGTTACATTTAGACTATTTTATCCACAAAATATAATACCGTTGCATATAAACTTTATGTTATATCTTAATAAATTGGGGAAAGTTGGAACACCATATGTAATTTATGTTATAATATCTATCTCAGGTTTCCTCCCATAGCTTAAAGACTCCAACGCGCAAGTGAGTTATTGAAATAAAATTGACCCTCTCTCTCTCTCTCTCTCTCGTAGCTAAATAGAAATGTATTCGTTTCCTTTAATTAACCAAATTATCAGAAATAATTTTTCACCATGTCGATACCAGTTACTAAATAGTCTACTTTTTCTTCAGGTACCAAAAGTAGATGAAGATGTCACATTAACAGAAGATCAGAGAATAGGTAAGGTTTATCTTTTGACATTAGATCCAATTAACCAAATTAGTTACATGAGAAAATATTCGTTGAATATATTTCCTGTAAAGGGATATCATGTAATTTACCACGTTTTATGTGGCGTGCAAGTGAAAGAAAGCTTGATTGTAGAAATTTCGAAGGGAGCCACTGTGGCTCCTTACCTGGAGGTTTCATTTTCGATCCCTGGCAAGGGGCAACGTATAGTCGTTCGGATGGGGCAAAAAACCGAGGTCTCGTGTACACATTGGCGTGCACGTAAAATAGCCCTTGGCAGTTAGAATTCGAAATAAGAGCAGACCAGTAGGACGTTAAACACCATAGCGACGTTGCCCGGGCTACATTTTCCTCGCAACTCACTGTAACACACTAAAGGCGCATGTTAGTCTTCATTAGCACGACTGGTGTGAAAAAAAGACGGTAAACACAATTGTATTTCATTTCACCGCGAGAAAAAAAGTATTGTCTGTGGTCAGGATTAAATTGTGTGAAGAATTTATCCAGAGCAGCTCCGTTGCAGAAATGTGGATGGGTGGGTTGATGTCTAACGTAAATAAAGACTTATAAAAGATATTTTTTATTTATGTACTAATGTGATTGGCGAGAATTCTAACTGTGGGCATTTTAACTGTGCACATGGGCAGCGAGTTTACAAAACTTTCCTTGTAAATCCACCAGGCGCAGCAGCTAACACATCCCATTGTTCTGGTCTGTCCATTTCAGGATTCGAAGTCGAGAGGTCAGTGCTCCTAACACTCGACTACCGCGTCATCTCAGTAGATTAAAGTCAACAGAATGTTCCAAAAGCGAAATGAAATGAAGACGAGCATACGCAATGCGTTGTATTATGAGTGAAATTTTGCCAGGGCAGCGACGCTATAGCATACTCTTTGTTCGAGGTCAAACTGTCAAGGGTTCTTTTAGGTGCATGCCAACGACCGGATATCGTGCACCTCTGACAAGGAGAACCCATACTGAACAATTCAATGTGAACATTAAAAAAAAACCGAAAGAACCTATCTGTGTAGAAATAAAATATGAGAGTCAACGGACAAATAATGTCCAATTCTTAAGCCTAACACAATTGTTTTCCACGAAATCCATTGACAGAAGTCAATGGACAAATAATTTCCAATTCAGAGACCTAATCCAACATGTCTCGGCTTGAATGATCTCCAGTCACATTGTAAATTATCCGCATACAGTAACAGAGTCAGTTGTGTTTTAATGAGGCTAATATACCAAGAACTTTTAGATAATATAAGACTAGACAAAGCATTACTATTTAATCTGTCTTCCTATTGTCAGGAGAAAGAAGGAAGTAAAAAATAATAATGGTATTGCTTTTCACATCCTGTCAACAATAAAATGTTGCAGACTAATGTGGACCTAACTGTTATTAAACACCCAATAATACATCCTACAGTAGATATCGCTTGTGTAATTAATTTCATAATCTACTGCCATATCTCCTTAGGAGATATCACTTTACATGAATTTGATTGGTCAGTTAAAAAGGAACTGCTTTTTTTGTATTTTCAACGAACGTTTCTTTTTTTTTTTTAAAAGTAACTTCTTTTTTTTATTATTATTAAAAATGAATTATTTTATTTAATTGACCGTGATGGAAACACTGGGTCAATATAAAGGATTTTTCAATGGTTGAATTGCTGTTAAAAATGATGTATCACTACGCCATAATGTAATCAGGTTCAGTAAAAGTCAGTCTATAGCAAAGAATTATATTTATTTATTTGTGCATGTAAGAAAGGATTGCATGATAAATAAAATCCCCTGCTCATCTTTTTTGACGTCGCCCCACCCATTACCATAACGAAGGTTGTCCCACCCATTAAAGCATTACAACATTCATCTCCGCGGGGGTAGCCATTCTTTTTATGGAGCCCCTGCACCCATTACAATTTTATACTAGGTCTCTCAGCGAAGGTCGACCTATCCCTTCCAGTCTTTACAACAATATAATTTTATAACATAGACTCCTTCAGTGGAGGCAGCACTACCCTTTACAATTTCACCACATGTCTCTCTGTGGAGGTAGCTCCACACATTATAACTTTGCAATATGCCTCTCAGTCGGCGATCGTGTTTCAATCCATTGAAAATCGCGACAATCCGAGTTGATTATGGGCTTGCCCTGTGAATAAATGTTTAATTAATAATTAATATAACAACTGAGGCTAAAAGAAAGATGTGCAATAGGTAGATTTAGCTCTTGAATAATACCTCTTTAACAATAAATGTATATATTAGCCCCCGTGTTGGGGGGTTGGATGGCTGAATGGTTAGCACGCGCGCGCTGTATCATAAAGTCTGTCATTGAGTTAACTGGCGTGGTTTCGAATCCCCGTTTGTACGTGACAAGGAGTAGGGTCGCCTGTCCAACCTCGTTGGTTTTCTCCGGGTCCTCCGGTTTCCTCCCACTGCTAAAGACCCCTACGCGCAAGCGAATTATTGAAATAAAATTAAACCATATGTTAGTCCCGAAATGACCTAGTTTGTGTCGAGTGGACGTTAAACCCCATTTCTCTCTCTCTCTCTCTCTCTCTCTCTCTTTCTCTCTAGCCTCCGTGTTATGTGGTTATTGAAAGAGATTTTCCATTTGACAATGAATGTGGATATATTGGCTATTTCTTGAAATTACAACATTGATTAGTATATTTAACAGTATAAAAAACTTTTGACCATTAAATATGTACGATCAATATTATGTTTCCAAAGATTTAGTGCAGTCTTTACGAACAAACAGATCGCCGTGAAATCTGGGACTGATCCGTCAAAGAAACGAAATTTCTATTCTCTGGAGCCACACAATTGAAGAGAATTGGCGACAGAGCACATATTTGAAAATGTAATATGAATATATATTAACTGCTTTTCATTCAATTATTTCAATTGTAAATGTAATTTTTAATCAATTATGTTCGTTTGCGCCTGGCTAGTTCAGTCTAGAAGTTGATCGTTTTGTTGTCTGTGGATCGGCCATTTTAATTACTACCGCATTGACTTGTGGGATATGTTTTGCTTTGTAATTTGTTAGAGAACCAAACGTCGGGCACTGGCCCCAAGTTCACAAAACATTATCACACTTAAGTTAAGAATTTACTCAAAATTGTTCCCCTTATTTTAACTACAATTTTGTGGTTTTAATGTATCAAATACACCAATAAGAAACTACATGTATGTGCAAATGTTTAATTGTGTTTCTGCATCAAAGATATTTCTCATATAAACATTGATTGAAAGTTGAGTAAATTCTTAAAGATACATTATGGGAGATTCGGTAACGAGTTGGCAGTTCTGACTATAATAGTTAAAAATTAGATAATGTAGAAGGCAATTTAGTGAAAATTTCATTCAAATTGATCCACTATGAACCGAGAACTAAGCGACTGAAATTCCCATAAGCCTCGGTCATCATTACTAAAGTCAGTACGATAAACAGCATAGTCTCGATTATCCATTTAATCGTTTAATGAGAAGGAAAGTTATGCAGTAAATCGGCTTACAATCCACTAAAGATCGCAGGCTAGCGCAGCCATCTAGAGTTGATTATGGCCTGGATAGGTTAATTAATGTCTAATTAATAATTTAGATAACATTTCAGGCCTAAAGAAAGACCTGAAATAGGCAGATTTAGCTCTTGCATAATGCATGTTTAACTTAAGCCTGAGAATGCTTAAAGTTCGTTTTATGTTAAATATTATTATGTCCTTAGACCATAATGTTCATGCTAGGATAACAGCATCAATATTGATTTAAAGGACCAAACATTAAATTCTAATTCGCGTTTTTATTTTTTTTTTCGAAGATTATGGATAGGGTTGATTTAGAGGTTTAGTTCCCCTTTAAACTCTATTTTATTTTGTCATCCACTGTTTGATGTATATTGGAATAACGTGAAAGAAAAAGTCCTTACACCGAGTCAAAAGCTTTTTACACTGCGGAGAAAAACATGTCTGATTTGTTAGTGTTACACGATAGATTGCGTGTGAAAGGTGCATTAAGCTGGTCATTGTGAATAAACACAAAACATACATCCGATTAGTATACATTAAACTATTACCTGTTATTACTAAAGGGCAATTATACCGAGCAATGGACGTCCAATGAAGGAAAAAAGTAAATAATTTGACGAACTGTTTTGTTTGATTTTTTTATTTTTTTTTTTTTGGGGGGGGGGGGGTAATTTATAAATAATTTTAGTTTCAGACATTTTACTCTGGCGTACTGTTTTTTTTTTTAAATACAAATTGTTAGTAAATAACATTGCATTCCCTTGTATAAAATCAAATTTTCATATTTTTTCTTACTATGACTTAATGTTCAAAATCGCATTACAAAATATTTGTAATAAAGTTTAAATGTCAAAGACTGAAATTAATTCCATACATTCCATACATTCCATACACGCAGATTGCTTTCACTTGGTTGATCCGCGCTAAATATTATATATAAAATCAATTTATCAGATTCTTAATATGACTATATAAAGTAGTTCAAAATCCCATTATAAGTATAAATTTTGTCATAGATCGAAATTAATTCCATACCAATAATAATGCGAGATACTCATAATGTTAAGCCTAAACGCACACACCCAAGCCCACCCTCACACACACACACACCCACACACACAAACACACACATGTCTTGGAATTTCAAAACATCAACCCTGAAAGTATGTGCGTATATATGTATAAAAATATTGTTGTTTTTTTATTTTTCTTGTTTTGACAATACAATAATATATTTCAAAATACCAGAAAAAAACCTATTTGAATTTATTGCATCTAAATATTACCATACCATGTCTAAAATTTGACATACCATCCAGAAAGTCTGAATATAGTTAATGGTGTTTCTTCTTATATTCTAATGAATTAATGAAAAAAAAAGTTCAGAATGTCAAATAATTTATGCTTATGGCTGCGACAGAAAAGATTTTGAATTCAAAAACAAACGAAAGGTGCATTCGTCCGCCGAATTAACTTTTTACCAGCCTAAGCGAAGGAACATGTTTATATCACGTACAGGTTTTTTTTTAAATACCGTCTTATTTTTATATTTTAGAATTAAAAGAAGCCTTCTCGTTATTTGAAGGAAAGGGTAAAGGAAAAATTAATGTCAGGGATTTAGGAGCTTTATTACGCTGTCTTGGATGGAACCCCTCAGAACGAGACATGGAGGAAGCCAAACGAGAATTAGAAGTCAACAGTAAGTATGCGTATTATGTATTGTCTCATGGGGGAGGGGGGAGGGGTTGGATGACTGAATGGTAAGCGTGTGCGCGCTGTATCATAAGGTCTGTCATTGAGTCATCTGGCGTGGTTAAGATTCCCGGTTGTACGTGACAAGGAGTATAGGGTCGCCTGACCAACCTCGTGGTTTTCTCCGGGTCCTCCAGGCCCTACGCCCCCCCCCATCCCACTGGTAAAGACCTCTACGCACAAGGGAATTATTGAAATTAACTCGATTAACACAGGTAGACATTTTAGCTGATAAGCAATGAGATGGAAAGTAAAACTTGAATTTGCCACATTTGATGTGAGTGATATATAAACGTGTGTATTGCCCTGAACTTAATGAGATCAAATGAGAGAGAGAGAGAGAGAGAGAGAGAGAGAGGCGTAGGGGTCTTTAGCAGTGGGTGAAAACCGGAGGACCCGAAGAAAACCCGCGAAGTTGGAGAGATCAAATGAGCTACTATGGTTATGGCATAAACGTTCATAATAACATTCTTCTTGTTTAAGGTATTAAAACTCGTTTGCTTATTATAGTTAAATGTATCGATGAACGAACTACTAGCGTTAAGACCACTTTGTCGACATTGTCGTACTAACAGGTTTTAATCAATATACTGTACAATAATCTGTGGATTTTAGACAGCTAAACATAGTGCGCTTTCATTGATTTTTAACTGCTAACGAAATTTTTATAATAGAAAATCTATTCATAATTCTTCGTTTTTTACGCTTTTATGAATATCCAGAGTTATATTTATTGTCTTTTCGTCGTGTTTTTCATGTGTTATCTTTTTTACGCGAGTAATTCACATTTAGCATGTCGATTTTGTTTGGGCATTAACATTTTTCTACAGTTTCTTCATATCCATTTATGATTTTTTTTTCCATATGTCTTCTTTTTTTACGCGAGTAATGCACGTTTTGTGTTTTCATTGTCATTTGGGATTTTTTCAATTCATTTTTATACGCGAATAATTCACATGGCGTGATATTTCTACTGATGTTTCTATTTTTATAACCGGATTATTTAGGTTTTTTTTTCATTAATTGTTTTCATACACGTATTTCGAAAACGACTCTAGTTTTAGCTTTTATTGAATCAAATTTGTTTTACTAAACTATTAGAATTCTTTGATTTGGGTAAAAAATAAACTGTCATTGGATATTAATTGTTGATTTACATTTTGGGATGACATTTTGTTTTCGTGCAATATTCTGCTACGTCCATGTTGAAATCGATTATTCTTTTAAACCAAATATTTAATCGTATAATTGCGTGTGTGCGAAATAGCATTAATTAGCGCCCGCTTCCACCGTTCATGTTTATAATGGCCAAGTGGTCTAGAGTGTCGCGCTTCGAGCTCTAGCAGGCCGGTCACCTCTGGCTTGCGGTCACGTTTTCGATCTCTGTTTCTCGAAATTTTAGTAGATACTTAAATTTTGATTGGCTAAGCACTAAAATCAATCTAATATTATCCAAACAAATTACTAAATTTTGGATTTTTATCTTAGTTAAAATTTCGTGAAACAGGCCCCCGGTGTGAGCGTATGTGGCTTGGAGATAGTGGGCGACTTGTCAACCTCGTGAGTTTTCTCAGGGTGGTGTTCTCCCACAGACTCCTGTGCGTGTGCTAAGCATACGACAACGGGACAACTTGTCTATGATATCACTATCGGTGGAAGAGGACGTTAAACCCTAGAATACGACGAAGATGAAGAAGTATAATCAGACCAACATCTTATTAATACTTAATTATAGTTTTAGCTCAACAATTTCACCCGCTTAATTTTCTTTTCTGCCACGGGCCGTTTATGTGTTCGCCAAGAGTCCGAACGGACTTCAAAGTAAGCGAGAGTTCTATTCCCCATCTCTGCCGCCAGACCATGAAGGACACTGCAAAATAAAACAAGACAAGATGGTTTAAACACTATATATAATTAATGTTAAGGCAGTTTTCGTTTCTGAAAAGCGGACCCGGGGATCACGTGGCTAAGTGGGTAAGACGCTGGCTCGCTAGCCTGGAGGTCGGGTGTTCGATCCCTGCATTGGCCGAGAAAGTTCATCCAGATTTTCCGGCGTGGTTCCCCCTTGTCAGTGATGCAGGACAGAGGGCCTGACAAGGACAGCTGTCTAGTCCTTCGGGTGAGACTAAAAACCGAGGTCCCGTGTATACATTGGAATGCAAGTAAAAGATCCCTTGGCAGTTGGAATTCGATATAAGAGTATATCACTGACAAGGGGGAACCACGCCGGAAAATCTGGATGAACTTTCTCGGCCAATACAGGGATCGAACACCCGACCTCCAGGCTAACATAGTGTCATGTAATGTCGCTCAATCGACAAATTCTTTGTAATTTACTTACTTTTCATTTTAAAAAAGGGAAACGGAAGTAGTCAATGCGGAAAGAAAACTATGGTACAAACCTTTCAATAACCTCGTACTCCATTTCCGTCTTGTGAGATTGGGAAATTATTTGTCAGTCATATCGTAAATCGTTATAAACAAATCGAATTTGGCCTATTCAACCTCCTCAAGGATTCTTAAAGTGAGGGTGTTGAAGGGCGTGTGAGTAAACAAGGCTCGCGGATGGGTAGTGGCGGTTTTCGTGCAATAGGCATGACATGCTTACTCTTTTCTAGAACACTCGATAAGGTACGTTATATTGTGTTGTTCTTTGGGAATGGAAGGCGGTCTATATGCACGGGTCAACTTTTCTGACCCTCATGCTTTTAACCGGAATTTTGTCGACATTGTTAAATCCATTCTGAACATCTGAGACACCCTACCTGCGGAGAAGTATCTCAGACACAGTCAGTAGCCATGATATCCATCACAGGTCATGACATTGGCGTCAATGGGTCATGAGGTCAACATTGTAAACAATAGGCTTATCTTCAGCATTGTGTCCGTTGCACCCATAAAGACTATATAATTCGTACAGTCCCAACATGTTCTCTCTTCTTCCAATGATTTTTTTTTACAAAAATAACATCTACAACTCATAGAATTGACGTTGTCTTCAATGACAGCGTCTGCGAGGGTTGTTCATAGAGGCCGCCATATTGCACTATTTTGTGCGTCGGTCGGGTCTATTTCAGATATACACAATCAATTCTGTTGATGTTTTTAGCGTTGGGATTGACTAATAGGAAATGTGTTTCAGTTCTAAAACAAATATTTTAAACTTTAACGCAAATTTAGAAAATAGCCAAATTCTGGCTGGGATTAATGAGCAAAATGGCCATTCACTGTATACGTGCGAAAAAAAAGCTAGCCACCAATTAATTTTCGTACGTTAGTTACGTACGTGTTAAATCGTGTGTATTGATCCCTAAAACTTGGTGACATGTTGCCCACGTGTTGAACAAGAATCGACATGCGCATTGTAAGTAATATTGAGCTATGTTGAGCAAAATGTAGCTAGTGAAAAGATCTTTTTTAACCAGGTGTGGTGGTACTTAACTCACGTATTCAGAACATCTTTTAATAGTTTATATTCTCGGGTGAATGTCTTTAAGATGGGTTAGCACAGATATAAGCCTGGGGGATCTGAATATTCATTGAATTCCCTACAAACAATTTGAAATTTAAGAAAAATGATCGGCGGTCTTTACACATTTATTATCCCTCGGAGAGCCCAGGATTAATTTGTACTAGAAGAGGGAGCCACAGTGGCTAAGTGAGTAAGACATTGGCTCGCTAGCCTGGAAGTAGCGGGTTCGATCCCAGTGTTGACCGAGAAACTTTATCGGGATTTTCCGGGGTGGTTTTCACTTGTCAGTGGTGCAGGATTGAGGGTCACGGATCGGACGAAAAACCGAGGTTTCGTGTACACAATGGCGTGCACGTTAAAGATCCCGTGTACACATTGGCGTCCATGTTAAAGATCCCTTGGCAGTTGGCATTCGATATAAGAGTAGGCGTAACGCTGCTGTCAGGGTAAAAATTTTACCTCATAGCATACTGCATGGCCTATGCCCGTCTTTATTAACCAGTCGGAGAAAACATCTGTACTAGGAGTCAGTCTCGAAATGACGTAACAGTTTAAGAGGCATATTATATACATTTTTCTTTATTACTGATGTTTGAATGTCCCTTTAAATTATTAAATTTCATAATTAAGTCTGAACGACCTTTAAACTGTTTAAATTAAATTATTTAATTTCATAATGAAGGCTGTAAGTCCCTTTGAGCTGTTTATATTGAATTATTTACTCAAGTCTGAACGACCATTTAACCTGTTTCACCAAATTATTTAATTTCATAATGAAGTCTGTGAGTCCCTTTGGGCTGTTTAAATCAAATTATTTAATTCCATAATGAAGTCTGTAAATTCCTTTAAAGTAGCTAAGTCTCTAACTCAATATCATCCAAAATCTTCAACATTGAAAACACGATTTATTTGTCAAATTAAATCAACATTCATGTTGTGATCTTACCGGGAAAAGATGGGCTTTTGATATCCAATATTTAAGACAAAATAAACATTTTACCATTTGTACACGAATCGTGTACCATAATGCGCTTCAGCTCCATTTGTATCAAGAGACTCGAGGGACGGGGCTAGACACATTGCACCAAATCAAACGGTGTATATAGACTGGAATAACCAGACGCTAGAAATTTGCACTCGCTTGAGACTGCTGGCTTATGTCGCTGAACATAGATGATTTGAAATTGGAGTAAAAACGGAAACCATTGAATGTAAATCAGTTTATATACATTCATACTACAGTATTATATGCGTTGCGACCCACTTTTGTCAATTTCTAGGTCTCAAGTGTTAGCGATTTAGCTCCTTTAAATTGTTTCAATTCAATTTCATAATAAAGTCTGTAAATCCCTTTAAGTCCGTAATGAATTCCGAACTTCTCTTTAAGTTGCTTTCTAATACCCGAAGTCTGCTCTGATCCCGTCTATTTTATTTGCTTTGCTGTCGTAATTGGCCGTTTCCGTCTGCTTTTATTG